AGTGGGCGACAGAGCTAGAAATTTTTAAGCCAATGTTTATATAGCCTTCACTATGTCCCACATTGTTCTATGTATTTTATAAATATTGTCTTTTTAACTTCCTAAAACCTTAAGAAGTAACAAGTATTATTAAGCTAGCTAGGATTTGAATCCGGACAATTTAGATCCAGAGGCCACATTCTTCACCACTAAAGCCAAAGCAAAACTATTACAATATGATAAAAATATAAATAATCATATTGAGAGATAGGATTTATAATATAATGTAATTATTAGAAAAAACATGTCTTTAAAATTCTTGATTTTATTTTAAAACAAAAGATACCATTTTCCCCATGATACATAGAAGAAAATTCTAGATCTGGATAGATCTGTGACTATTTAAGAATGAGAGAAACATTTAAAAAACAATAACAATGATATGTGACTTAGGAAACATAATTCAGTGCAAAGAAAGGGAACATTACTTTGAAACATTGTATTAAGATATTGAATTATTCATGTTATCAAATATGAATACTATATATATTTCTATAAGGATTTCAGTAAATATGTGATCAGGATCCTCAAGAAGATGCCAGATAACATGATCTCCTTTAAGCAGAAGTCAGCAGCTGCAGGAGAAAATGATTGAGATAACCACAGAGATAGAAAAGACAATTTACATCATAACTACAAAATCAAAATTGTCATTGGAGGCAGTAAAAAGAAGTCATATAATTCCAGAACAAGAGAACTGAATAGACCTAGAAGTAATAGTTGCAATATTAATGCAGGAATGTATTCCTTATTTGAAGGTTTAGTGCAAAAATATTCCTCAAGTTCCAGGCAAAATTAATAAAAAGTCACATCCAGGATGAAAGAAAAATATTACAACATTACAGGAAGGAAAATCAAGATACTGATAAGTGGGAAAATCAAACTGATACTTCGTTTCTCCTTGCAAAAACAAATGCCAGGAAAAGTAATGGAATAAGAAATATATTATAGATATGTGCAAAGAAGTTATGAACCTCAGACTCTATTATGGGGCCAAGTTACCGGCAAGTAGAAGGAAAGAGAAAGACACTGGTGATATGCATGGCTTTAGAAAATAAAGATGTATTTCATTGACTGGAAAAGAAATCAAAATAAAGAACACAAGAATGGGGGAAAATGGCATTTAATAAATTGATTGAGATTAAGAAACTTGTGAAATCTATAATACCTGGCTCAGTAGCCTGCTAAAATAATTGTGAAAATAAAAACAAATATTAAACAAAGTCCCTTCTTACAGAGAAAATATACGATAACACAAACATCCAGAGATAGGGGGTTTGTTAAATTATTATGACACATCCAACCAATGGAATATCAACCATAAAAATACAATTCTTAACATGGAAAAATCATTCAAATTATGTATTTAAGTGTAAAGAAAGCATGTTTTAAAAAACCTTATGTATTATACGATTTTATTTGGCTTGTAAATACATATGTGAGACTTGAGAGAAATGATCTTGAAGGTTGTATATACATGGTATGTATTCATGGGTGCATTATGAGGCTTCCAGGTTTGTTTGTTTATTTTTGCTGACCTACATTTTCCAGTTTTGTTACAACAAATAGTTATTACATGAGCAAAAACAACTAAAAGTAAATAAAATTATATAAAAAAGAGATCGATGGTCACAAATACTGTGTTTCATTTCATGGTTATTGGTTCTCTGACCTTGGAAATGACTTGGATTCCTCTTTCTCCCTCTATCTCCAACACCTAAATAAAAACCACGTTCTTTGGATCTTACTTCCTAAAAATCTTCTGCACTCCCCTCCTCCCCTCCATCAGCATTACTCCTGTGTTAGATGTCACCTTATCATCTCTCTTCCAGGTTTTTCCAAAGTCCTCCTCACTGGTCCCTTGGCCTTTATCTCTACTCTTCAAGCCATTTTAGATGTTGCCGTCTGAACATTTTTTAAAAATATAAATCCAATCAAATCACTTTCTACCTGAAAACTGTACCAACAGGAAAAGGCCTCTCTCTTTAGTCTGGAATGTAAGACATCTTTGATCTGTCTGTAACCTTCCTACCTCTGCAGCTTCAATGAACCAGTGAGTGCCACATCCTGGTTAGAATCTGCTTCAGAATCAACTAGCATCTAGTTTTGTACTGTCCCCCTTCACCGCCCCCACCACATTTATTGGACTTGAGAGTTTGAGCAATTTGAGCAATTTACTTAATTTCTCTGTGACTTGGTTTCTTCGTGTGTCATAGCAGTAGTACGTCACTTATAATTTTGTTACGATTCATTGAAATAATGTGAGTAAAGCAACAATGCCTGGCATGACGTTGGCATTCAGGAAATGTTAGAATAGTGTCCCCAACCCTTCATTTTCTCAACCATCAAAGAGATAATTATACTTCTTTATAGGTTTGTTTTGCTGGATGGATGCTCTGGCACTTTGTAAATACCACTTCCTGTTCTTTCCTTTTCCTATCTTCTACTGCACTACTGTGTTGCATATGCTTTCCTGCCTCTGAGTGAACCTCCGACATCCTTCAAGATTCTAACTGGTTCTTCAAAGCTTCTCCAACTTTTTCAGACAGATTGTTTTGCCTCCTTTTCTGGACCCCCAGAGCACACTATCCTTACCTCTGCACTGGCACATACCACACTGCAACATGCACTTGTCTTGTTCTCTCAGTGGGCAGCATGCTCTCATAAGTTCATGCAGTCTTCCATGAACTGCCTGAGCTGGCAGTCACTTGATCCAAGGAGGGCAAGTGAAAACAAGCTCTGTTGGAGGATGGAGGGTGGGTTTGGTGTGAAGGGAGTAATAAAGTCAGGAAGACTAACAACAAGGTGAGGTGGAAGGACATTAGGCTTGGAGTCAGGACAATTGAGTTGCAGTCTTGGCTGTTCCACTAACAAGCTATGGGGGTCACTGGCATGCCACTTTATATCATTTTCTTTTACTACAATACACAGAAGTTACAAGTAACGATGTCTATGACCTTTCCAAGGCTAACCTAAGATGATTCCATAAATAGAATAATACTTCAGTAACTAAAGCAACTAAAAGAAACCCTTCATATGAACCATCAGATTCTGGCTACAGATTTTATAACTTATTGTAAAAAATAATATGACACAAGAAGGAACTAATCTTACAATATTACTCC